TCGGCCTAGATAGGGCCAGGCTCGCAGGAAGCTCCAGAGTCTGGTGAGTTCAAAGCACAGGGCCGACAGGTCCAGTAACCTACCACCATCCCCTCCCCTGCCTCTCGGACTTCAGGCATGCCCACCACCCCTGGCGGTGGGACTTCCTGCTTTCAACCAGGAAGACAAGATGGTACCAGTTAAACCCAGTTCCCTAACATCCACCATGTGGCCAAGATGGTGCTAGTTAGAGCCAGTCTCCTTTTTTCTTTCTGACTTCGGTTCAAAACGGCATCTGGTCAGCAGCCCGGAATGCCCACTGCTAATTTCCCACCTCCCCCATTCCCCACCCCAACAAAAAAAGACGAGTGTTCCAGTCCCACCGAAACCTCCAAATGATGCGGCGCGTAAAGCCACCATCTCATAGGACTTTCTATTCATCATGAACCTGATAGGATTACTTAAAAGAAAAAATGAGAAGGAAGGAAAACCTCTAGCCTATTGCCGGCCATCTCCGGAGACAAGAGAGAGTATCACGCCGGGCTTACAGACGGCAGCAATACTGCTCACACCCTGTGGGCCGGGCAGATACGTGAGTACACACTTGGGTACGAGCAAAGACAGGACACACGGGCGCAGCCCGAGTTGTGATGCATTCTCCTGAAGGAAGAGAGGTGAACATCTTCCTGCATGCACAGAAATGAGTTTCTGGAATCCAGATAGAAATTGTAATACACGATCAGGCATCCTCCAAAAAAAAAAGAAAGAAAAAGTAATCCCAGACTAATAAGAAACAGATTGGAAAATCACCAAGGAAAGAATGGATTGCATTGCTGTGTTTAAATGAGAGCAACCTTACTGGAAAGCAATTTGGCAGTGGCGGTGGCTTTACAAATTGTTCTACCCTTTGACTCCTTAATCCCACGGTTAGGAATCTAGCCTAAGAAAATAATCACAGATTCAGATGCGCCAACCTCGGTATCATTTATAATCCTCTCAGATCATTCCAGTTCAATTTATCTAATAACAAATTTAAATGATTAATTCAGGTAGTCTTCCTTCCCAGGGCTCTGCATTTTTTAGTCCTTGAAATAATTCTCAGGACTAGCTAATAAAATCAGAAAGTGGTCATACTATGGTTTAAAAATAAAAAAATACAAGACTTGGATTTTGAAAGTTAAAAGGAAACCTTTTCTAAAAGCACATTTAGAAAAATGTACTGAAATTGTTAATAGGAATGTTAATAGGAATTAACACTGTGGGTAGCATTGGGAAAGAGCGTTTTCAGAAAGATAACAACAAGAAAAGAAAGGAAGAGAAGAAAAGAGAAGTTTAATATTCTTCTAAACAGCCCTCTGTTCTTCATATGAACCAAGATGGTTGTAGTGAGGACAAGGAAATCTGCAGGATGGTGTATTTTGCCTCTAATGGGCAGTTAGTTCTCTGTCTTGAACCATTTGTTTAGAGTGGCCTATGGTGCTAGTTCCCAGCACTTAATTTTTTAAAAATTCTAGTTAAATATTCCATAATTTGGCAATGCATTCCAACTCTGGTGTGTGTGTGAATTTGTTACATTAATATGCGGTGTTACGCATACAGGAGACTTGGGGTCTATAAAGGAAACCAAATTAGGAGACACATATCAAGGAACTTAATAATATACAGGCTCCCCATTATGGTAAATTGATAGTTCCTCAGCGTGGTAATAAAGGAAGTCTGTATGTAAGCAAGCGGAGTTAGCTCTGCTCTCGTTTATCATATAAAAATAGTACAAAGGGCAGATGTCTCTTTATCTCTGTGTGCATTCCTATATGACTGTTATTTTAAGATTTTGCGGCCTGTGGGTGTGAGCCGTCAAGAAAGCTCACCCACAGATGGCTTTTGGGAATAAGCCAAGATTAGAAGTTAAATATTCCACTCAGGCTGCTGGAGATGTGGCCCAAGTAGTAGAGCGCCAACCCAAATATTTGACTGAAATACTGATACCCAAGGCGTTGTGTTCGCTGGGTGATATTCACTATGCCAAGAACACAGCCTCCTGTATGTAATTTTGGGAAGAGGCCTGCAGCAGGGTAGAGGTGAGCACAAACATGTCCACTTCCTGCCATTCCTGTAAGACAGCTTTTCCCCTCTGGAGGAGGGCTGGGCTTTGCTCACCTTTAACGGTTCCAGCTCAAAGAGAAAGGCCACCCTTAAAGAACTTCCGTGCTGCCTAGAATAAGCCCAGTCACTCATGACGGATGAAGACTTCCTGTGTTTGTGACTTTGTGGGCCCACACACGTCCTCTTCCCAGAGGGTCTGTTCATCAAGGTACGCTACAGCGTATTCTGCAGGCGGAATAAGCTCCGTTGGGCAGGGCCTCTGGGGGACGCGTGGCCCCGAGGCCCTGAGATTTGGCTGGAGTCTGTCCTGCAGCCGGGCAGCGGTGCCACGCTGAACGTCATCCACGTGAGGAGGAGACTGCTACGGTCGGCCTTCAGGTACAGATCGGTCGGCCTTCAGGTACAGATCGGGCGCTCTGTGCCTGGAATGTTGGCCTCTTAGGATGAGGCCTGGGGCAGTCTGCTCAGGCCAAGCGGGCTGCCCTGCCCGAGTTAGCGAATTGCTCTGCTAAGTCCGCATAGACCCTCTCGGTCTTTGATGTGTATTTGTAAGCATGCGAGCCTGGGCTGGGAAATGCTGTTTCCTGGCCTCCACAGGGTGAAGTCTAAAAGCTTTGATCCCTTCTATTTCCTGCTTCACAGCAGCATCGGCCAGCAGAGGCCTGGGTTGGGTTTTCCTTGTCGCCAGTATGAATGCATTCCATTGAAGAGAGGAGACCCAGGCTCTCCTCAAGAAAACATGCTGCTTTTTCTTTTTAACCTGGAGACCTCCAAAATGATGCTAGAGAAGTCTTTTCTTCTACAATTGGTGTGTGTGTGTGTGTGCGCGCGCGCGCGTGTGCAGGTCCTGAACACTGTCTCTGAGCTTTTGTGCTCAAAGCTAATACTCTACACTTGAGCCACAGCTCCACTTCCAGATTTTTCTGGGTTTCATTGGAGATAAGAGTCTCCTGGGCTTTCCTGGCCAGGCTGGTTTTGAACCACAGTCCTCAGATCTCAGCCTCCTGAGTAGCTGGGATGACAGGTGTGAGCTACCAGCACCTGGCTCTTTTAGAATTTTTTTTGTTGTTGTTGGTGGTGGTCGGGGGCCTGAACTCTGGGCCTGGGCGCTGTCCCTCAGCTCTTCAGCTGAAGGCTAGAGCTCTACCACTTGAGCCACAGAGCCACTTCTGGCTTTTTCTGCATATGTGGTGCCTCATGCATGCAAGGCAAGCGCTCTACCACTGAGCAACCTTCCCCAGCCCCCTCTTCTAGAATTTTTATGAAGCCAACATCTGAGTTGCTGCGAATGCTACATTAAACCTATTTTGCTATTATTTTTTTTCCAAGAAGAAAAGAAAGCTGCTTCAAAACAAGAAATTTGAATGGCGCTTCAGACCACATGCAATCAGGGGAGAATATGTCTCACCCATAAAATCATTGTGTGTTTCTCAGAGCATAGAAGCATCATTTCCATCAGAGAGCAGTTCATATTAGCACTACCAACTCTGAACCTTACAGGAAACATTTCGTTTGCATCCCAAGATGGCATGTGGCGGCGGAGTGGAAATTTCCTAGGGACAGGAACTTAAGAGAAGTAATGTAGACTCATGAAGGGAACTGTGCAAACAAGTCGTGTTCTAAAGCTGCTGTTTGCCCCCATCCTGGTTATTTTACGGAGAGTCTGACGTGGCTGCTGGTGACAGAGATATCGCTGTGTAAATAAGCCAGGTCTCATTAAATAGTGCAAGTTGGGAATTTCTGATGCAACTGAGATCTCGGATGATATTACAAACCAGGACATGGAGGTGGAATGGGTCATTATAACACAGCCAAACCCAATCCACACTCTTCATCTGCACAACCGTGCTCTCCAGCGCAGCCAAGTATCAAGAGACTTTCTAACTTAGGACACCTATGAGCAGCCAGTGGACCGTCTCTGCTACAGAGGAATTGAGTCAGTGCTTGAAGACAAGACATGTTACTGATTTGGAGACAACTCCTTCAGTGCACAGAAAAGAAACACTGTAACTAACACACGTTACATTTGATTAAGGACATCTCCATATCTGAGCACTCCGCTCCATCTTCTCACTAACCCCAAAAGACGTTTCAACACTTTTATCTTGTGAAGATTGGGCCCCAAGCGCTCATTTTCCACGCACAAATCCAATTTTCTGACGATTAGCCAGAAACCTGAACATAGCACTGTCTTAGACTCAACAGCACAGATTTCCACATAACGTGAGTGTCCACGGGGATCCCCGATGGTAAGAGAGAAACTGTGGGTCACGCGGTCAGGCTAGAACCCCACGAGCCTTTCCAAAACCGTTTGTTCACCTGTCGCGAGAGCCTTTTGTGTGTTTAGCGACAGCCATGGTCTGAGGGGACTTTCTGGCTGCGGTTCTGATCTCACGCGTAGCCACGTGGCCGGGCGTGAACATGAACTTCCTTAGGGTCAATGTAGGACGCTCGCTTCTGCTTTTGCTTGGTCAAATGGATAGAGAGAGAATTAAAAGCATGTACGTGGGTGGCTGCCCTCATTTATCTATTCCATCTACTTATCTACACCAGCTACTATTTCATGACAACAGGCCTTGTCTGAGACCCCTCTGGCAGTTGATGGTGGGGGACGGGTTTGTCTTGGGGAAAGGATGGGAAATGGAGAGAGCCTGCACCCACCGTGCTCCACCCGCGTGGGTTTGAGGAAACGTGGCTGGCCTACACTGACTTCTGCAAGATGAAAACGAGGCCCTCGCTCACAGAGCGCGCACAGGGACACACAGAACCACCCGGTTTCCCAGCAGGTACCAGCCATGTGCTACTGTCTCCTTGTCTGCTCTGCCTGCAGCGCAGGTTCTAGACGACCCACGTCTCCCTGTGTGTCTGGCCGCGTGTGTCTGCAGCGCCTGCTGCTGCTCGCTCGCTCGCTCGCTCACCTGATCCGAAGCCAGGTCAGCATGGGGGTCGTCCCTCCCCCGAACACCCACACGGTGAAGAACACGAGCAGCAGGGCCGTGGTGAACATCATCTGCTTGGGCTGCGACTCCGTGTTCCGGATAGCCAGAGCAAACGCGATGGCTCCACGCAGGCCTTGGGGAGGGGAGAGGGAGGGAGAGAGGGAGGGAGGGAAGTAAGTGCCTTGCTCAGCCTCCTCCTTCCGGCAGATTGTTCCGTGCCATGACTTTTTGGTTTGTTTGTTGGGGATCTTTGCAGCGGTATCAGAGATAATAGGGAGAGATGCCGGGGAACCTTTCCTCAGTTTCCCCTAATGAAGGCATCACAGGGTCTCCGTCGGAATGACAACACGGACGCAGGCCGGTTCCTGAACATATTCCCTCCTCCGGTCGCGTGACAGTTCCACGCCTCCCTCCCACACGGCCCCTCCTTCGCTCCCAACAACCAGGGATGCCACCATTTCTAGTCCACGGCCTTTGTACCAATGGATGTATTGGAAGTTGGCGGCCTCTCTCCTTCCACTCCCCTGCATAATTCCCTGCATATGCAAGTTGCTGAACGCACCAATGGTCTATTCCTTTCGATCTTTTTATATTCTTGGCTGTACTGGGGTTTGAACTCAAGGCCTTGCCCTTGCTGGACAAGTGCTCTAGGACTTGAGCCATGGCCCCTGGCTTTCTTTTTAACTTTATTTTTCAGATAGGGTCTCTTGCGGTTGTCTGGGGATAGGTTTAGACCAGCATACTTCTACTTCTGCCTCCAAAGGAGCTGGGATTACAGGTATGACCCCCAACCCCGGATGGCGGTTTGAGATGGGTATCTTATTAACTTCTTGCCCAGGCTGCTGGCCTTGACCTGTGAACCTCCTCCTTCTAACTCCCAAGGGGCTGAGGTTATGGCTATGTGTTACTAGGCCTGGCTCTTTCTCATAGTGTGGATGTTTGTTTAACTACCCACCGAGGGAAGGGTATGTGGAGTGTTACAGTTTCTGCTGGCCACAAATTAGGCTGCTAAGATCTGCATAATGTTTTTTTTTGCACGATTTCTCTGAGATAATACTCAGGAGTGCAATCACAGAGCACTTCAATATTCCTATGTTTAGTTTTTCAAGAAATTAGTTTTAAAGAAATTATCAACCCATATTCTGAAGTGGCTGAGCCAATTTACATTCCCACCAACAGTTAAAAAAAAAAAAAAAATCACCCAGAGTTTCTGCATCATGGTCTGTTTTTTTTTTCTTTCTGGTTTTATCTGTTCTCCGTTAATAACAATATGCTAATTGAATTTGTATAAATCCATATTAAATATTCTTGAAGAGACACGAAAGGTTAAGTGCTAGAACTTCAAAGTGGGATGATATTAACAAAAATGGAAATGCAGACTCGAAGAAGAGTAAATGAGAGTTCTGGTGGGAAAGGAGACGGGGCGGCTCGGAAGGCCTCGGGGTGGGGGTGGGGGTGACTCAGGACTTCCGCCGTCTTTGTGCCACAGGGGTAACAGTGAAAGGCGAAGAGGCAGGGATCTGACTGTCCCGGTAGAATGGCTCGAGTCAAACACATACAATTTCAGTAAGCCAGTTCTGATCCTATTTAGTAGAATGCTAGGTTTCCAAATTGTCATTCATATATTTAAAAATTAGATATAAAAGCCGGGCGCCGGCAGCTCACGCCTGTCATCTTAGCCACTCAGGAGGCTGAGATCTGAAGATCGCGGTTCAAAGCCAGCCTGGGAAGAACATTCTATCTCCAAAGAACCACCAAAAAGCTGGAAGTGGATCTGTGGCTCCAGTTTAGAGCACGAGCTTTGGGCCCCAAAGCTCAGGCACAGCGCCCAGGCCCCGAGTTCGAGGCCCAGGGCTGGCCAAAAAGGAAAAAAAAAAAGGTAGAAAGTAGGATGAATAAAATCACAACCCTCTTTTTTTTTTAAAATTCAGTATTTCAAACTAGATATACTATTCTTTTCTTCTCATTGAGGACAGACAAGAGACAAAATGTGGCGTGGTAGACGGGAGAGATTGAATACATTTCCCCAGAGGAGGAAGTGGGAAAGGTAGGGGGCCCAAGTACTGATTACAAAATACCTTCGAGGAACAAAATGTAAGGGAGGAAGGAAATTATTCTAAGTCTCCGTGCAGACAAGGAAATGGCCGGCAGATAAGGAAGATAACATTTGAAGGAGACATGAATAAAAAGCGTTCCCATACATCAGACACACTTGTGGTGTGGGTGTACAAGATCGGGGCCTGGGGGAGATGTTCGTGTGTACAGACCTGGCTGGCCACAAGAGGCGGGGTTATTAATGACCCACTCTCCTGGGGGGTTCATAATTTCTCTCCAGGAAGGACAAACACTATCATCAGGGGATGAGAACATCTTAGGACAGATTTCTGTCTGTGCAGGTTAAAGCTCCTGGCAGTGTTCAATCACAGGACAAGCCTGGGGATAGAAAAACACGACCTTTGCATCTCTCTCTTTCCCTCAAGTTCAGATGGCGGAAATATCCAGAAAGCAGCCTAAACCCAGATGAGGAGATAAGTCACCAAGTGTTCATTTTTTTCCTCGTATGAATATTTGTAGGTCTGTTTTTTTTTTTTAAAGAAGTTTTTGTGCGATGAAAAACCAGTACAAATGATAACTTGCTGTCTCATGCTTGCTGTAAACTCTTTCAGGCTGGCTATCAAGGGCAGGCTAGCAAGCAATCATTAATCTTCCTAAGGATGTTTAATAATGTATTATAATCATGTGAAACCAGTGCGGCACTGCTCGTAAATCTAAATTAGCCAGACACGAGCGGTTCTGGGTTTTAAAAGTGAGTCTGGTGGCACCTGCCTATAATCCAAGGGCTCTGGAGATTGAGGGAGGAGGATTGAGAGTTGGAGGCCAGCAAGAACTACACAGAGAAGTGGAGGCTAGCTTGGAATACATAGGGAGAAGCTATAAAAGAAAAAGTGTAAGCAGAAGCACATGTGTGTATATATAAACACATACTCAATATATATGCACACACAAACAGGGAAATGCATACATCTACACCTATATGCATATACAGCTGTGTATACATATGTATAGACTCCTACTCAAAGTATATCTGCTAATCTTGCCTTCCAAAAAATAAATAGAAATATTAGAAACTCTATAAGAGCTGCAAAGTAGAGATTTCTGAGAAAGAAGAAGTGCAGCTGTGGCTTTGTGGTGGGTTGAAGCACTGCTGATTAGGGTCAAAACCCCTCCCGTCCATGAGGACCAGAAATAACCATTGAATAGAATGACTTCCTAGAAGGCCCAGGGACAGGGGTTTCCTAGAAAAGCCCAGGGCTGCCCACAGACCATTGCTTCTCAACGCCTGCATCCCCTGGTGGATGGCCAGGCGGGTACACTCAAAGCCTAGGCCTGGGAACAGGGCAGGCGGGAAAGTGGAGCCATGTAGAACTCCAGAGACTTTCCTGACTCTCCTAGTGTCTGCGCACATTTGGAGCCCATGCAAATATCGGGTCGATGGCCCCTCAGTTAATTCCAACGTATCCATCACCCTGATTGGATACTGGGTGCACACCGTGTGTACCGCAGCCTCCTGGTCTCAGACCTCCGGGGATTTCAGACTTGAAACAAATCACTTAGGCTACCAGCGAAATACTAAGTAATGAAAAATTAATATTGATCTAGGGTTTTCCTTCTGGCAAAAACATGGTTTCCAAAGGACACACACTGTGTTGTTTAGAAAAACTCATGGAAATTTGTCTTCTTCTTTTTTTTTTTCTTGAGTCCTTTGTGACCTCCTCTTGGTTTATCTCTTTTTTTTTCCTTCTCTTTGTTTTGGCCCAGGAATCAAAATAGTTTTATACATTGGGGAAGTTGGTGGTTGGCACCATTTCATTTTTTAAATAGGTTCACTCTGTAGAGATTTTTTTTTTTTGACAAATTCCACATGCCCAGTGGGAGACTTCGCATCTCAGGAAATAGAAGAACAACCTAGAATTAAATATGGCTTCATTTAAAATTAGCCTCTAAGGGATTCTTATGCTAATGACGTTGATGTTCTGTTCACAACAATGGAAGGCTGGCCAGCCAGGGAAGGCTTTCTAGCAAGCACTCCTGCTGGAGGAAAATACGCAGCTTCCTGTTTATCTTGAAAGAGCAAGAGCGGAGCTTTTAATCAATTACACGTGTACCATCCGGGCTCGGAAGGGGCGCAGGTCAGCTATCTATAGCTGCAGTGAGTCTTGGGGTATTTATGGTGCAAGAAAAAGAAAATAGGGCCAGACTCTAAGCCTGTGTGGGAATCTTCATCCAAGAAGGAATGCAGGTGACTCAGGATGAGACTGAGATGGCTGTGTTAAAGGGCAGACTTACAACATGCATGGGAAGCGAGAACTCCCTGCCTTCTTCCCTGAGTGGAGAGATGAAGGAAAGGTCGTGTTTGCATTTGAAAGCGAGACTGGTGCCCACCAGGAAACGGCCAGCAGATGGGCAGGGACGTAGAAATGTCCTCAAGAAACGAAATCTTGTCCTTGAAAAGGATTGTCCTTCAAGATGAGCTATTCTGCTATCTGTGTGTCTTTCCTTTTGGAGTATAAATCCATTGCCCTCTTTTTCTCAAGAACCATGAAGAGGGTTGATTTCAAAGACGTAACACATCCTTATCATCAGTCGGAGAGATCAAAGCCTGGTATGGGTCGAGAACTGAATTATGTATTGTCTTTCCCCTTGCTCAAGTCTCGTGATCTTACACAGGGCCAGGACTTTCAGCAAAAATGTCAGGCTGGTTTCAAAATACATTTTCCCGGAGAGCGTGGCTTTACCACGCACGCGGTTCCGGTCTCGGTTCCACATCGTTTTAACACAGGGAAGTGAGGCCAACAGGTTGTTTTGGGCGGGGAAAAAACCCTGCACTCAAAAAAAAAACAAATCAAGGTTCTTCTGGAAACAAAGTCTGGGTTAAGACAAGCTGAACTCTCTTTCCTTCATCTCTCCTCTTAAAATCAAATGATTCCATCCAGGCTGCTGGGAGGCGGTGTGACGCACGCTTCTTCTGGTCTATTTACACGAGATGAAGTTTGTTTTTGGAAGCCCTGGGCAGCCAGGAAGGGGTAATGGTAAATAATGGCTCTGAAACCAGCAGGCACAGACACCTCTGGCTCTGGAAGTTTCTTTTTCAGGCAGGGGAGACGGATGTTGTGATTCACTGCCAGAGTGGTGGACGCAGAGCTGTATTTTAGAGAAAGGTTAAGAACGATCAAGAGAGGCTCAGCCTTCTGGGAGGCTGGGCTCCCCAAGGTCAACTTGAACTTCCCATTTTATAGACGGTGGCTCCCAGGGGGAGCGCTTCACCGTCAGAGGGAATGGTTGGCGGAACCTGGACACGTGTATGGCTTTCTCCAAGGCTGGGTTGGTGAGGGCATGCCTGGGGTCCCGTTCCAGAGGCTCACGCTGTTGAACGCACGTGCTTCCGTGTATATGATGCACCCTAACAAGGAATGATCTGGCTTCGAAATGCAATCGTCTCTTGAGTTGAGAAACCTGAGTTCAGAGCTAGGATTCTTGTTGTTGTTGTTGTTGTTGTTATAAGCAATGTTATCCATGAGCAATCCATCTGTGGGCAGGTCGATTCACGGGCTAGCCTTGGAAAGCACCCCTGGTAACCGTAGAAAGTTCTACCTACAGCCCTGGCAACCAAGGTCTTGCACTGTCTGCCTGTCTCAAACAAATGGCTTCTGCGGAGAGACCACTGTGGGCTGGGGAGCCTGTGGTGCACTGCATGCTGGGAGCCTCAGAGCTCAGCCTCCCGAGGAGCTGGATGACAGGCGGGAGCCACTGGGACTCTGTCAGCTACATGAACCTCTCACCTCTGCGTCCAGCTCCCTGTCTACGTAAGCATACAGTCTGAATAAATCTTTCCCGGGCCTTTGCACATCCTGCGGGAAGGGCGGGCGTGGCTGGGAGGGGCTGCTGGGTCAAGTCTGCCCAAGGCACGTGCTAGACAGGCTGGGGTTGGCCTGGGTTTGGGAGGACATGGTTTGAATTTAACTTCTGCTCTCCTGACCTCCAGGGGATGCCGAGGTACTACCCTGCAGAGGCGAAGATTCTAAAGAGACCCGGATTCAATTCCCAATTTCTCCTCTCAGGAGGCTGTGAGATGGCAAGCTAGATACACAACCTCTCTGTGCTTTACTTTTTTAAATCATCTGTAAAATTGCACCCTTAAAAGGATCCTGAGAAAACCCCAGGAATCTGTTTTCCTACCTGGACAACCATTTTCCTGGAAGGATCTATTTAATGTAATTGTCTTAGAGTTCTGGAAGCTATGGAAGGTTTGCAAACTCCCGGGGAGGCCTCGGACAGTAAATCGCCATTAATCTGGGTCAGTTTAGTACAGCAGCTCTCAGAACAGGGCAGGAAGCGACTTGGAGCTGTGAGCCTCTAGTGTGTAGAAGCCAGGAGGCAAAAAGGACTCTGCCCTATCAATAATACAACTGAGCAACCAGGTGCTCTGGTTACCGGTAGCTGGTTCTGATCACGGTGGTGCAGGCCAAAAGTAATCGACCTGAGATGCCACTGTGTGAAACTAATCAAAAGACTAGGATTAGAAGAATGGACTTAAAAAAAAGAACCACACATATCCAACTCTCTGCTGTTGACAAGACTCATTGGAGATCCAAAGACACCGTCTGAAAGTATGGAGAAGATAGTTCCGTGCAAATCGGAGCCCAAAGAGGAGAGGCGATGCGAATAGCAGACAAAATAGATTTTAAACAAAAAAGGGTACAAGGGTTAAAACTGGGCATCACAGACGGATGGTGGCAATCAAGCTCCCAATAGAAGATATGACAAGCACAAGCATTTGTACACCTAGTTGGCAGACCCTCAAATATATTTAATATATGAAGTAAAACCCAACCGCGTTGAAGGAGAAACAGATAACGCTGCAGTGAGCGAGACGCACATCCCCCATGCTCTGTGATGGCTAAGATACCCAGACAGAAGAGAAGCAGGTTCACAGAGACACATGAAAACAAGCCGATCCAAGTCCTGAGACGCTTACCTCCCACGAATCACAGAAAGAGCCAGAAGTAGTGCTGAGGCTCAACTGAGAGAGCAGGATCCTTGAGCAAAAAGGAGTTCAGAGACAGCGCCCAGGCTTAGAGTTCAAGGCCCAGGAACAGCAAACGCAAGAATCCCCAAACAAGCAGAACCAATGGACACATTCGAAACACACAACACAGCACCATATGTAATACACAGGGAACGTCTCCCAGGTTAGACTATAGGCCAGGGTTAAGTTAAAACAATGGATTTACACACACACACACACACACACACACACACACACACTCAAACCCTTAGAGATCCTGAACGTGTTCGTCCACCTGTGAGCGGTGTTGATTCGCTTCCTGAGCTGGCACGCAGTGACAACATTAGCGCCCCTCACTTTTTTCCACACATCTCGATGTGCCCCGGATGACGTTGGCTTGCCATGATCATTTGTTCTCCACCCAGGTGCCTTTGTTTGTGTTGTGAACGCACGCAGAGCGCACGCACAGAGCACACGCGGCCTCTCAACTATGTCTCCCCGCAGGGAAAAGGCTGGTGGCAGGAAAATGGATGATCTCAAAAGAAACGGCCCTCGCCAGGGTTGGTGAACGGTCGGGCGCAGGCTCGTTGGGTTTACTTTCCTCTCAGAGGAGCCTGGGGGCCTGGGGTTGAGCGGGAAGGACATCAGTTAGCGGGGAGACACAGGACCTACTTGGGAGCAGGGAACTCACTGGCTCCGCCTAGAACGCATTTCAGGCACCTGCTGGGTCTCCATCGACACCGCCCTCCACAAGGCATTGTGGGCCAGATGAAGCGGCTATGGGGACCATGCAAAGTGTCCCAAACAGGGGAGGGTTCCATGTGTACCGTTAGCCGTGGGACCAGGCTGGCACCAGTTCCACAAGTTCCCTTGAATTTCATTTCCCGCTTTGGAAAGATCTAGTATGTGCGTGTGTGCATGTGTGCGTGTGCACGTGTGTGTGTGTGTGTGTAATTGCCACCCCAGAGGACTTCGATTTTCCAGGCTCTCCCAGCTTCCCCACCGTGCCCCACACCATTCCCGACGGTACAGGAGGACCGCAGCCCGGCCATGCCAGCACCGTACCTGAGAACATCATCATGTGCTGGAAGTTCCAGGGGATCTTGTCCTTCCGGCCCAGGTTCAGGAGGAAGGACAGCGGGTAGATGTTGCAGGCCCGGGCCACGAAGATAGCGAGCTAAAGACAGACGCGTTGAGGAAAACATGGAGGCCGAGCGAGGGTCACTGCCCCGTGCTGACCACGTGTCTCTACACGGCACCCAGAAAACAAGGGGGGGGCGGGAAGTCTGCCAGTTCGTGTCACTTGATTTCAGGTCATGAGCCCAGGACCAGGCGTCTGGACACCTTTCTGGGGCTCGTGATGGACTCTACCCTGGATTCTGTGGAAGCCAGAATTGGGGGACAAAAGTGGGGAGGGGCAGGAGCCCCTCCCCCCATGCCCTGCTCCCCCGCTCCCCAGCGCGGCTGGTCAATGTGTCTGTTGCTCTGTCTTTTCTGGGAAGGGAGCACCCATCTGAATACGTAGGGCAACGGCTTTGAGACGCATCTCACTAAAAGCCAAGTAAGAATCCACGAGGATATTGGCCCTCGTGAGTCCTCTCCTCTGTTGTCCTGGTCTCTGTCCCTGGGACGTCTGTGCCCTCTACTTTGTCCTCACCGAAGGGGGTAGAGGGGCGGGGTGGGGGTGGAAGTCATTTGGGACCGGGGAGCTTTCTTGGAAGATTCGGGGTGTAGGTGAAATTCGAGAGTCCAGCTGAACGCTTCATGAGACAAGACGGCAGGCAGACGCTCACAAGGGAGAGGTTCACTTTCGTGAGCTCCTCTGCCAGGGACCCCCTTCCTCCTCTTCCAAGTGGGAAAACGAGGCTGGCAGGCCCGACTGCTTTTAGGAATGTGTCCCTTGGCCTGGCACCCTGCCTGACAAATACCTGCTCCCCTGGGAACGGCTCCCACCCCAGCCTGTAGCCAGGAGGGGCCTCCGGATTCCAAGCAAGACCTTTATTTGTTGGTTGTGGGGCTTGAACTCAGGGCCTGGGCGCTGTCTCCAAGCCTCTTTGTGCTCAAGGCTAGCGCTCTACCACTTGAGCCACAGCGCCACTTCCGTTTGTTTGAGTGGTTCACTGGAGAGAAGAGTCTCACGGGGATTTTCCGGTGATCCTCAGGTCTCAGCTTCCTGAGTAGCTAGGATTAGAGGTGAGCTGTGAGCCACCGGCGCCTGGCTACTTTTACTTTTTTTTTTCCTAAGAAAAGGATTTTATTACCACGTCATGCAAACATCTCTAGAGTGTAAAATTCTCGCTAAGCCTTCAGCTCGGCTCTAATTCAAAGTGAATGTATTTTTTTTTCTATACGCATACCTGGACATATACATGATTTATACATCTATAAATGATTAACTTTTTTTGCTAGGCATAGTTTGAATACTTGAAAATTCACTTTTCTTTAGGTGTCCCCCTCCTCGACTCCCCAGAGCATTTTCTCGACTTCTTACCCTACACCACAAATGTTTCATGGAGTCCCTGCTGTCTTAGGATGCTTTTTACTTCCCCCTCTCACTGGAAATGACATCTCTGGTTTGAACCCTGCAGTGAACTCAGGAGAACGAACGGTCAGAGGTTAGGGCGAATGATCGCGCCCCGTTCCCTCTTTCAAAGGATACAAAGGCTCCGAGGATAAACAGAGCGTTGAAGGTGTGGTTCTGGAAGGTGAACAGCGCCAGGCCCATGTAGCAGAAGATGACGTTCTCAGCCAGGAAGTTCATGAACTCAAACAACTGGAAGCAAAACAGACACCCAGAGCGTCAGCCACCGCTCAGGCTGGAGACCGGTGTGTTCCATGACTCGGTGGGCCTCCCCGGTCCGGGAAGCCAGCCCATCTGTGGGCCCCCATGCACGTCCCTCTCCTGGCTCACGGGCCTCACGGCTCCGGTCAGCTCGGCTGACCCAGCTGGCTCTCTACCCAGTGACGCGCAGCCCAGCCGCACCCCCACCCCGCGCTTCCCAACCGCAAGCCCAGGAGGAGCGAGCCCGGGTAACATCAACCAGCGCGCTTTCCCGGACGACCATTCCAACGGAGACAACCGACCTCCCCTGCTATGGAAATCCAAGCCCAGCGACTCGCTTGAGGTATGACAGTAAATGACACAAAGATTGTTTCTCCTCTTTCTGTGTATCACCCGGGAGGTGTGCTTAAGTTCTAAGACCCTGAAGAAGTATATAAGTATTTTTTTTTTTTGGGGTCCGGTCGTGGGGCCTGAACTCTGGCCTGGGCGCTGTCCCTCAGCTCTTCAGCTCAAGGCTAGCGCTCTACCACTTGAGCCACAGCGCCACTTCCGGCTTTTTTCTTTTTGCTTATGTGGTGCTGAGGAATCGAACCCAGGGCCTCAGGCATGCAAGGCAAAAGCTCTACCACGGAGCCACCTTCCCAGCCCTATTATATATACATATATATGCTTCTATATTTATATATACTTACGTACAAGTATGTGCTTCTACACAAGTAAACATATCTGAGCTTAAACTAAGTGACCCTCCTCAGGCAGGCAGGAGAGACAAACAGGGAAAACTGGCAAGGAAGAAAGAGCGTCTGTTATTCTTCAACCTTAGAGCCATCAGTTTATTCTGAGCCCCTGGGCAGGCAGGGCTTGCTGGGTTGACTGATGAAGGGATGCCCCTTTCTACCTGGTACAAAGGGAGTAAGTAATCCCCCGACGGGGCTGTGCAGCCAGGCAGAGATGCTGCTGGGGTGACGCGGCTGTGCCAGGATGTCTCCACTACCCGCGGAGCGCTCGGTGGGACGTGGACCACCTTCTCTAACGCCTGCATTCAACACCACAAGGGCCCCATGTCCACGGGCTCTCCCCGGGGCACCTCCACAGGAGACTTGACTTTGTGGTCTAGGTTCTTCATCTGGAAGTTTCTGAAACTTCATCCCCCCCCTACATACACCACCCTTAGGTAAAGGTCTCTGGAGAGAACTCTGTCAACCCCACAAAGAACGCCTGGTACCTGTCACCTGACAGAAAACAGATTCTTTATTGATTTATTTGTCGGTCGAGGGGCTTGAACTCCGGGCCTGGGCGCCGTCCCTCAGCTCTTCAGCTCAAGGCGGGCGCTCTACCGCTTGGGCCACAGCGCCACTTCTGGTTTTCTGGTGGTTTATGGGAGATCAGAGTCTCACGGACTTTGAACCGCGATCCTCGGACCTCAGCCTCCTGAATAGTTAGGGTGACGGGCGTGAGCCACCGGCGCCCGGCTCAGAATCTTGTCAGAAACCTTCATTCAAACCAGCAACAGGGAGAAAGGAATCAAAAACAAAACCCCACGCAGCTCCTGCGAACAACCCGGTCTTCTTCCCATAGTGTCCAGTTGGTCCAGCCAAACACCATCCCCTAAGTGGTCATGGGAAACGGAAAGATCTTAGAACAGGGGGAACGCCTCTCTGCCTCATCAACCTTCAGCACTCCCCGAAGTCAGACCTGGCCATCATTTGGATCTCTCTGCTGGTGTTGACACAGATCCAGTAGCTGGTAAGCCCCGGGGGCTGGGGCGGGGGGTGTTAAGGTGCCGGCTGATTGGGTGCTGACCAGGGTCACCTCCTACTCTGATCTACACCTCCTACACCTGCTCTTCTTATGAGGACACCGGCTCAATTCATCCTCTAATTCAGTTCCTGACCACCATTTCCCCAAAGCTTCACCCTCCAAACAGCACCCCACCCGGAATGGGGGACCACGTGTGAATTGAGGAGGCGCACCACACCGGGGAGCCGGGACACAAACTGAGCTGAGCGGCTCTGGGCAGTCCAGCTCGGGTGAAATTCCTGACACAGGCTTCTGTGTCACGGAGCAGATAGCAGGCTTCCTCTGCAAACCTAACTACCGGCCTGCTTTTCAGAAAGAACTAGTCCAGGCCTGGGAAGGTGGCTCAGTGGTAGAGCACTTGCCTTGCATGCCTAAGGCCCTGGGTTCGATTCCTCAGCACCACATAAGCAAAAAGAAAAAAAGCCAGAAGTGGCGCTGTGGCTCAAGTGGTAGAGTGCTAGCCTTGAGCTGAAGAGCTAAGGACAGCGCCCAGGCCCAGAGTTCAGGCCCCACGACCGGACCCCCCAGAAAGAACGAGTCCGTTTGCGTCTCTACCCAAGCGGCAGAGAGGACCCCGCCCCTCTCTTGCCAACACGAACATTTTAAACCTCTGTTTTTAAAACCCGTGACAACGTGATAGATTCTCTCATTTTAAATTGCAGAGGATGGTTAGCATTGTAAAAAAAAAGAAAAAAAAAGGTTCCTTTGATAGGAAGCAGCCATGCTGATTAGCACTCTTGTCGACTTCTATCACAGAATGACGTTTCTCTGAACGAACAGGCTTTTATAATAATTTCCTTCTTGGACCCTTAATGAAAATCTGTGTGGTGAATTTAATGTCGTTTCTCACGTTAAACTGTCCTAAAGACAGTTCCAAAGGAGAATGCGGTAAAACCACCTGTTCCTTCCCCAAATGCACAATTAACTGACCTTCAGAATTACACACACACACACACATACCCAGAAGTAAAGTTGTGGCTCAAGATTTAGAGGCAAAAATAAACTTAGAGACAAACCCCAGACCCCGAGTGCAAGCCCCAGGACTGACAAATAAACCGAAAATGAAAACAAACCAACAAAATTCCCCAGACTGCCACAATGATACATTTCAAATTAGTCTCTTCCTAATTCAATATAAACAGGTGACTTCCTTTCCAACCAGGATCAGTGAAAATAATTGACTTAAAAATCAGCACAATCCACAGTGTTAATTTTGTTTCTGTGAATTCACATTTGGTGAGCTGCCGAAGGGGACCTGGGGTAAGGCTATAATCTTTGCTTAACAAAGCTTCCTTTCAGCAGAAAAAGGAATTTAAAAATAAAAGCGAGTTAATAGTACAAACAAGAGTAGGGAAATAGCTCCATCGGAGGATGAGCTGTGTGGGGAACGGGAAGGGGCTGGCGGTCATTCCCGTGTGAATTCAGCAGCTTCATTCGGTCGGCAAACCACACTCTTGGAAGACTTCTCGGACACCATGCCTGTTAGTCTGAGTTATTTGCTGAGTTTAAAGACTTTAAAAAGTCCTGTCTTTCTAATAAAAAACATGCTCACTCCTCATTCTGACTGACTTCTCTTATATACACACAGGACTGCAATTTGTCTTTATCAGCAGATGATATTTCCTGTAGTGAAAGGTGTGGATGCGTGCACTGGCTGAGTGATCCTGATGGAAGGCACCTTATTTCCTCAACCCTGTTTATGTCGGCTACAGTTTGACACAATCAAAAACTCATGTGAACTGGGATATTCCAAAACTTGTCAAGCTGCAATAATAAATAACAATGTTATTTTGTCTTCTACACAATTCTGTCCCAGGGTTAATTTTGTATTGTTGCTTTATTGCTGTTGTTGTTATTATTATTTAGTTTTCTTGTCGGTTGTGGGGCTTGAACTCAGGGTCTGAGTTGCCCCTGAGCCTCATTGTGTTCAGGGCTCTACCACTTGAGCCGCAGCGCCACTTGTGGTTTTTGAGTGGTTCGTTGGAGATAAGAGTCTCACCGGGACTTTCCCACCCAGGTTGGCTTTGAACCTTGATCCTTGGATCTCAGCCTCCTCAGTAGCTAGGATGACAGGCGTGAGCTACCAGTGTCCAGCTTTTTTTTTTTTTTTTTAACAAAATATTATCTTTGTTTCTAAGTGGAAGCTTTCTATACAGAAGATCTAATGTTTATAGTAAACGCTACTGAAAACACAAAATTTTGATCCCTGAGTCTCTATTACTCAAGAAATTTGTTCATGGTAAACAGGTTCCTATAGATGAGATATTTATATATATATATTTTTTATTTATATTATTTATATATTATAAAATATATTATTATATATTACATATTGTAATACATATAAAATCTATGTATATTACATATTGTAATACATATAAAATCTATGTATAGATTAAGTGCCTAAGATATATATATTATTTATATAACATATATTACTATATATTATTCATTGTAATACACAATATATTATGGAAGGGGAAACAAAAGAGGAGGCTACAATGCTTGATAAGAAATATACTCATTATCTTGCCCATGTAATTGTAACCCCTCTGTACGGTATTTTCACAATAAAAAAAATCTATAGATAAATGCCTAAGTTTATTATATATTATAATTAAGTATGTTATATATTATGTGTATATAAAAAATCTATGCATAAATGCTTCATTTTATTATATACTATAATTATATATAAAACATCCATGTGTAGACAAATGCCTAAAGTTTGTTATATATTATAATTATATATAAATATATAAAAAACATCTATGTATAAATGCCTGTTTATTATATAATTATATATGTATATATTAAACATCTATGTATAGATAAATCCCTAAGTTTATTAGATATTATAATTAAGTATATTATATATTATGTGTATATAAAACATCTATGCATAAATGCCTCAGTTTATTATATATTATAATTATATATAAAACATCTACATGTAGATAAATGTCTAAAGTTTATTATATATTATAATTATATATAAATATATAAAAACATCTATGTATAAATGCCTGTTTATTATATATTATAATTATATATGTATATATTAAACATCTATGTATAGATAAATCCCTAAGTTTATTATATACTATAATTAAGTATATTATATATTATGTGTATATAAAACATCTATGCATAAATGCCTCAGTTTATTATATATTATAATTATATAAAACATCTATGTGTAGATAAATGCCTAAACTTTATTATATATTGTAATTATATATAAATATATATAAAACATCTATGTATAAATGCCTAAGTTTATTCTATTATAATTAAGTATATTATATACATGTATATATAAGACCTCTAGGTGTAGATAAATGCCTAAAGTGTAGGCAGCCCAGTTTGGAGGTTGTGCTTCTGCAGCACCTCCAACCTAACACCATCTACTCCCTGTGTTTGGAAGGGCTTGACATACAGTGCTGCTCAGCCCTGAATTCTCCCTTTGAAACCATCCCTGGCTCCCTCTCCTTTCCCGCTGGCTACCGACCTCCTCCCATCTCACCGCCTTTTCTAACCCTAATTTTGTTTTCTAAAACCACGGGCGTTTCAAAAGCGCAGCCTGTAAAAACACAACACTTTTTTTCTTCTTCCGGAAGATGAATAGGCATCATTAAGGAAAGTTAATACAGGAAATAAATAATAAATGTAGTTACAGCTGCAAGGAATTGAGCTTCATTAAACTGAATAAAGAGTGAGCAAACACCGCAGTCAGATTTTTCTTGAAATCCTCAAGTGTATAATGTCAGGGGAAAGCTATTTTCTTTGAATTTTTTTCTAAATTACATTAGCCGGTAAACACTGATAACAGCGTTCTTATTTCTGGAGGTTTTCTACTTTTGACTTTTTTGGGGGGGAGGTAGGTTTTCTAAGGTTGCATCTTCATTAAAGATAGTTTCCTCAAGTCTGCAACTTCACAAGGTGCTTATTCTGATGCCATTGATCAGCAATATGGGTCCCAAGGTAAGGTGGGTTACAGATTCAATCGATTCGTCTGCGAAGGAAAATTAAAAGCTATGACAGGGGCTTAAAATTATTTTCATTATGTAGAAGATTGTGAGTTCAATTGTTGAACTGCGGCAGAATGGGCCTAGTGTGCACTCAATAGAAGGCTCAAAGCCGAGACCAGGGCATTGATTCTGCTGGCCTGGTGAGAGGCTGGGCTGGGTATAAATCAGAGGAATCAATAAAATGAAAGATGAAAATCTGGATGATGCCATTCAATTGGAGCGCAGCTCTTCAGTGATTTGTGCCAAGGCCTGGGCATCCATAACTCAATCGCTGATGGACAGTAAGCTGGCTGGGCTAGCTCCTTCGTCACAGACGG